GAAAAGGACAAAAAGCTTGAATACTCTGACGCTTTCACAACAGAGTTGGGTCCGTGTCACATCACTCCAGAGTACGAATCAATCATCAACCAGTACTCCTGGAACGAAGTCACCAATCTCCTTTTCTTGTCCCAGCCCCTCGGCGTGGGTATGAAATCCTGCTGCCTTGATACATCCTGAGTACATTGCTTACGATCTTATCTGCGAAGGGTTCTCTTACAGTGAAACCGAGGCCGGATCCTTGAACCCAATTACTGGTGTCACCGAGAACGCCTCGTTTGCTGGAGTCCAGGGTCGATACCCAGTTATTGATGCCACAATCATCGGTTAGTTGTCTGGTACGACTCTCAGTTAGCATTCTCCTCATGTTCCTACTTTACAGACACAACCGATATCGCTGCACGCGCAACCTGGGAGGTACTTCAAGGCTTCCTCGGTGGCCTGTCACAGCTGGATTCTGAAGTCAAGTCCAAGGAGTTCAATCTCTGGACGGAGAGTTACGGAGGGTGAGTGCAGCTTTCAGATCAGATTGACGTATGCTGACTTGATCAAGACACTATGGACCAGCTGTAGGTTTTCTTCTCTGGATGCACATATATGAAGCTGATGACCAAAGTTCTTCAATCATTTCTACGAGCAAAACTCGAAGATTGCTAACGGGGAAGTGAGTGGAGTCCAACTCAATTTCAACTCTCTCGGGATTATCAATGGCATCATTGATGCCGCCATTCAGGTGTGTAGAAATGCAGCTCGCGCAGAGGCTTTGACGTAAGAAACATCGCTAAAACAATGAATAGGCAAATTACTACCCGGAGTTTGCTGTCAACAATACATATGGAATTAAAGCTGTAAGTTTGTTATCCGCACCACGTGGATTTTATATCAATCTTGCTCATACTTGCTAGCTCAATGACACAGTGTACAACTATATGAAGTTCGCCAACACGATGCCCAATGGATGCCAGGATCAGGTTTCTTTGTGTAAACTGACCAATAGAACCTCGCTAGCTGATTATGCTATATGTACAGAAGCAGCCAACATGTGCAGGGACAATGTTGGTGAGTGGTTTTGCAATTCCCCTGCAGGGATGTATTGATGAAGGGCTTCGCTAATTTGTTGTACAGAAGGGCCTTATTACCAGTTTGGCGGCCGTGGCGTGTATGATATTCGCCACCCCTACAATGTAAGTGACAAGGATAAGGATTGCACTTTCCGAACAGGGACACAGCTAATATGTCTACGTAGGACCCGACCCCGCCGTCCTACTTCGTTGACTACCTCAACAAAGACTCAGTCATGGATGCTATCGGCGTGGACATCAACTACACCGAGTCCAGCAGCGACGTATATTACGCATTCCAGCAGACCGGCGACTTTGTATGGCCGAATTTCATCGAGGACCTCGAAGAGATTCTCCGACTCCCCGTACGCGTGTCCTTGATCTACGGCGATGCTGACTATATCTGTAACTGGTTCGGTGGTCAGGCCATCTCACTCGCAGTGAACTACACCCATGCATCTCAGTTCCGTGCAGCGGGTTACACACCCATGACGGTAGATGGGGTTGAATACGGGGAGACGCGCGAGTATGGCAACTTTTCTTTCACCCGCGTATATCAAGCCGGGCATGAGGTCCCATACTATCAACCGATCGCAGCGTTGCAGATGTTCAACCGTACTTTATTTGGGTGGGATATTGCAGCGGGTACAACTCAGATTTGGCCCGACTATACCACCAACGGCACTGCGCAGGCTACACACACGCAGTCGTTCGTACCACTGTCCACAGCGTCAAGTACCACCGTCGACTAGGATTGCGGGGAAATCTCCTTCTTTGGCATGGCTAATGTTGTGTTATTTATTCCGATACTTGTCCTTAACCTAAAAGAGTGGCACGCAAGCTTTCTTAGTCATGTTTGCCTTCAAGATGATTTATCCTACCACGACGTCGTCCTACAACTTATCAGGTGTTCTTGCAACACTTTGCAGCGACCATAAAAGAGTCATGTCATATTAAGTCCATTACGGTAATTCGTAACTTGCTGTGGCTAACGTAATTGTGCCTCAGCTAGATGTCGTGATACGCTCCAAAACCCAATCTGATCATGGATATCCAGCGAAATAACAGGAAGGAAAATAAAACATAACCAACCACCAAAAAGACAGAGGCTAATGCCTGGCCATCATGGAACTCCAGCAACCTCTTTCCGCTGAAATGGAATGCGTGTATAGTTATATAAGAAAGCTTAGTCATCATTTCACGATAGCCAACTCCGGCTCCTGCTTCTTCTCGGAAGGATGGTCTTCCAGCGGAACACCCACTTCTTGAGCGGTCTCATCCGAAAAGTTGAGGTCCGCTTCGACGTCGGTATGCTCCTTGATCTTCAAGAACACTACGGGCGACGCGATGACAAGACTGCCGGCGAGCAGGCCCCAGCAGGAGGCGAATTCCGTCATGTAAGGGGTTCCCACGGCATCCATACTGCAGCAAAGTATATTTATTAGCTTCTACGCCTAACTTCGTGAGCGAGGGGGCTTCTAGGACTCACCGCCACATGCCAGCTGCACCAGCAGACTGGATGCCTTTGTAGAAGCCGGCGAAGTTGGCCAACTTTCGAGCGTTGTTAGTCAGTGAACCCATGAACCTACACAACCCGTATCAGTCAGTAAAATGCATACAATAAGCGCAGCCGCCAAAAATAAGAGACAACAGCGGCACTAACCAATATGCACAGGTCTGGAAGGCAGCGTCATAGAAACCATAAAACATGTACAAGAACATGGGTCCAACATAGCCGCTGGTCGTCCAGTCGGTATCTGCCTCGACATCCTTCCGGGTGTATGTCTTCTGGAAGGCATAACCACCGCCCCAAACGCCCATTGTGAGGGCAAAAAGGAGTCCAAGACCAAGCTTGGCTCGGACTGGGCGGGTAAGGAACTTCAAGTCGAGGATCTGGCCAAATACAAATGCGCCAATCATTTGCATAAGCCAGTAGAGGAGATTGTTGAGGGCCCGCGTCCGGATGGTGAAAAAAGCACCATTGACACTGTTGAATTGATAGGCAGTAAACCAGTTGCTCCCCAAGAACATGGGAAAGAACAGGATGATGTAGTAGTCGGTCCGAATGGTGTCGTAGAGACCTTTCAATTCGGACTTCCATGTGGGGTTCTTCATCACAATGACATGCGAGCCATCCTTGCGCTTAACATACTTCGAGTCTGAGAGGGCCCAGGCAAGGACAAAGCCAAGCGCCATGAGCACCATGAAGGCGATGTAGGTGCCATCATTCACCTGACCAGCTTCAGAGTGCAGGTTTTGACCCAAAGGTACCTGTATACCAGGGTCAGAAAAGTACTACCATTTGGAGTAAACCACCAAAGGACTCACCAAGCTGCCAATCACACCACCCAGGTTGAAAATCACCCAGAAAATAGCAATGAATTTACCCTTCTCCTTTTCGTTCGGGTAACTCATCATGACCGCACCCTGCGCACACCACAGCAGACCACCGCAGACACCTAGTAGCGCGCCCGCAAAGATCAGGAAGCCGGAGTTCTTGTTATGGTTGTACGACAGAAGGGAAGCCACATAGAGGAAGTAGCCAAAGCCACCAAGTGAGAGAGTCAGGCGGAGACCAATGCGGTTTGCGATGGACCCGGCGAAGAAACCAACTACTGCGAAGGTGCTGTACAGAGCGGTGTTGGAATCGCTGACATCGGTAGGGTCCAGCTGACCACCTCCGCCCAAACCGCTGACTGCATTGAACATGCCCGGGCAGAGGAAACACACGAAGGAGACCAGCAGAAGTTGGGATTCTGGGGAGGCAAAGTATGGCAACGACCAGGGACCGATCTTGATTGGCTTGTACATCCAGGGTTTACCAGTGAGCTGGGTTTCCTGACCGGCCTCTGGATCTGAAGTAAACGCGGGGACTTCCTTCTCATGATGGAGGTCTTCCTGTCCCGTTGTAGTGGAAGCCATTGTCGTTGATGGACAGCTTCAATGCTGTATGGAGATGCCCCAAGAACAATGGCAGATGGGGTGAATTGATTTGCGGCTTTTCGGCAGGTCAGCAGGCGTACTCAAAATGCGCAGGTATGTGCATATGTAGACGGGATCAATGGCATGTATGTGCAGGTATAGACAGTGACAATGTAGAAAGGTGCGTGCAGGGAAACAGACGGGACGAATGGTGGCTGAGGGAAAGATGGAAGAGACACCTAATAACGAAAACAAGATAAAAAGGGGGTAAGAGGAAGAGAAGGAGAAGAAATATAAGAAGTAGATACAACGGAGGAAAGCAAATGGGATGAAGGGTATCACTGTGAGAAGAAAGGACGGAACTACCCCGGAGGAAATGAGAAGGATGACGGAGGAGCCAGCGATCCAAAATATGTAGAAATCTGGTAGCACGCACTGGGGCGGACCCAGAGAACTAAATTTAAAAGGGTTGGACTTATGGCAGTGAAGGAGGAAGAAAAAAAAAAGGCAGGATCAGGCAAGGATGTCTTAGATGATCCGGGGTAAGAATGAAGGGGTGGGCACAGAACCCAGTAAAGGGAAAACAGTGACTGGTCACGGGCGCAGGCAGAAAAAAAAAAGCGTGAAACCCTTGGCCCAAGCTGCAGCTGTGGTAATGATAAATTGGGTGGAAAGAGGAATTAAGGTCGATGGGGGCTCTGGCTTATTTTTATCTCCGGGGGCTCGGATATGAATCGTAACATCCAGCTGATGGGGAATCTCACCAGTCTAAGCCACGAGGAGAGTGCGCCGATGGTGAGGGATCAACTTGGGCAAGGATACCACGGTGGGAGTAGGGAGGATGAGACAACGGTGATAACAGCCATCATCGGGGAGGAGGAAGACACACGACACACAAGAGATAGGCAGGAAAAGGGAGTTAGGTAGCTCCACGATACGAAGAACATCCAGAAGACAAGCAACCGATTCAACGCCAGTGTTGCAACGCACAAAACAAAACCCAATAGAGAATGGGAAAAGTCAATGGGATGACAAGACAAGAAAAGCCGTCGTACCTTATCTCTGGGTCCTCGAGCCGGTGGGCACAGAAGACGCACTAGAAGAACTAGCTTACTCGTTTAGTGAGTGACGGCGTGGTCAGACGGCGAGATAGTCAAGCACCACAACGAATCATCGGTCTCCGACTGACTCTTGCGGGAACCCGATCAGTCGCAGGATGGAGAAGAGAACAATCGACACGATCCACTCGACCCCAAGCGACCCAAAAGTCAAAACGAGATAGAAAACTAAGGGGGGAAAAGATGAGTAAGAGAAATAGAAAATGCGGAGATGCAACTCAAAAAAATAAGGGCGGAGGTAACAGAGAAATATTGACCCAATCAATGGCCAAGGGAATAACAATGAAAACAGACACTGGATGTTTTGAATGTGAAGTAGTAGCCGATCGAAGATCCGACAAGGAAATTAATCAGACTAGCAATGCACCTCCGATGCAAGTTTGCCAAATGACAACCACGAGGCCAAATGGTCGAGACCCCAAGACCAGTCGCGTGTTATCACGGGAGGGGAGGCTTATCTCCAGGGGTTGGGTTGGATGTGAATGGAGCAAAGCAATCGCAGTGATAGCACAGAACAAGCTAGGGAGAAGAGAAACTGTTGTGCAGGGGAGAAAAAAGAAAGAAAGAAGAATTGAAAGGACGGACGGACCTTTCTCACTGATAATCCATCGACTGGATGTCAGTTGGATAGGATCGATAATCCGGTTTAACTCATCCGTCATCGGATCCATAGTTAATAGGGTTGGTGGTGAAGAACGAAAGAGAGAGACGGAGAGCGCGCGGGCAAGGCCGATGGAGCAGACGAGTTGCTGCAACCAAACAAACCCAGAGTCAGCGGAGTCAGCCTCAAGGTGGTTAATCTGGCCATGGAGCCATCCTGATTCACCCGGCGGAGCTGCAAAGGCAACGGTGACATCGCTCCTTCGAAGCTTAGCCGAATGCGGGGAGACGATTCGGCTCATTTGCTGGTACGGTCGTCGTGAGGTAGCATCCAAGAACCCAAATCCCTCCTCTTTTTGACCCTCTTTTTCTCTCCCGCTCCGCTAAACCTGCGCTGGTGGCTTTCGCTACCGATGAGGGTTTTCTTGGGTCTTCCCCGCCCAGTGGAGTCGGACCGGACCCAGTAACCGAACCCAGTGACCCATTGGATAAGAAGAAGCACAGTGAAAAGAAGGAGGAAGAAAAAAAAAAACCAAATTAACCACAAGGAGCGGGAGGATGTGAAAGGATGGCCAGGGAAATAGACAAGAAAGAGAGAGGTGGAAGTGAAAGAATCCTAGGGAATTGGAGAAGGGAGAGAGAGAGAGAGAGAGAGAGTAAATAGGAGTGTTTACTAGAAGAAAGAGAAGCTTGAAAGGTCCGAGAATGGAAATGGAATTGGGAAGGAATGAATGAATGCATGCAGACAAACAGCAACACTTTTCCTTCCTGTTTGGGGTCTGCTATTCAAGTATCCGAAAAAGGCAAGTACCCTGAGTCACGTGGATATGTATCAATTCAGACGTTGTTTAGTATCTCTGCCGTATTGCCGTATTGTTTGTACGGTTTGTATGGTTTCACTATCCACTCTGTAAGATACGGGGGGTTGTTCGTGTCGGTATTGATTATGACGAGACAGACGAGATAGGGAGCTCAATACTATGCAACATGACCTCACCACATACATACTCCAGTAATTTTGCCTATCAAATTGTGTACGTAGTTCTCCCCGAATCAATTCGCTTCGTTTGGACTGCTTCCTCGTCTAAATAGACTAGTTCATTAAGTCTATAGTCACTTGCTCCATCGGCTATCTCCCTCAAGAGCCCACTCCGGAGTAACTCCTTACTGCCAACCATGGACGGATCCCCGGGAAAAATGTCACCTCGTCGTCCGCCTCTAATCTTACGCCTTTACTACTATATTCATCTCCCTACACATCGACGTCACATTCCGGCCCCATCACGCTCCCCAAACCATGGGAATGGCAACGTCAATTACCCCAAGCCGTTTTTCCCGAGGCCAACCGCACAATCATCATGGCGATCGAGCTTGTTGTCCACGTTGCCTGCCCCTGCCTTTGCCCCATCCAAGTTCCTGGTTCAATGTCACCATGTACTTTGTAGTATTCCCTCCACGTCTTCTCATTCATTCATAATGTCCTACCAATTTCCCTCCTACCCCGCAACAATTTCCTCTTCCTCTCGTCCCGTCTCATCCCCTATCTCCTCTTAGTAGTTCGGACAGCCCATCCCTCCGTCCCATCCGTCAGTCTATTCTCCCCTCCCCCCTCACATCATCGACTGACTCCCCCAAGTCTGGTTGTGAGCGCGGCGCGGCTTGAAGTAATACCCAACATGCCTGGCAAAACATCCACCTCCCTGCCCCGCATCACCAAGTTCACCAACTGCCGTATCGTCAAGGGACTTGACCTCGTCGAGCAAGACGTATGGATTGATTCAATCTCTGGGAAGATTCTCAAGGATCAGGAAGCCTTCTATGGGTTACATCTCTCCCCCGATAAGGTCATCGACCTAGGCGGCCGCATCTTGGCTCCCGGCCTTATCGATGTACAGTTGAATGGTGCTCAGGGCTTCGACTTCTCCGTTCCCCAGGCCTCAAAAGAACTATACGATGAAGGTCTGCGGGCCGTTAACAAAGGTCTTGCCAGGACGGGAGTGACTTCATACCTCCCGACGGTAGTCAGTTCTACCCCCGAAGTTTACTGGCAGGTATGTCTCAATTACCCCCACACCTCCGGAATACCAGTAAACCGAAAATAAGCGGCAAAAGAGGCTCATACTTGAACGCAGGTACTTCCATCGCTAGGGGCATCTGGAGAGAGCCATCGCGCCGCAGATGGCGCGGAGTCGCTAGGCGCTCATGTCGAAGGTCCATTCATCAGCCCTGGTCGTAATGGCGTGCATAAGACAGAAGTTCTTCGTGCAGCAACATGCTTCGAAGATGTCATCGCTTGCTATGGCAAAGACAACCTCACCGGCCCATTCAAATCAGTGCGCATGATCACAGCAGCTCCTGAGGTTGGAGACATGCTGCCGAACATTCCCTCCCTCACATCAGAGGACATCATCTACTCCATTGGCCACTCGGACGCAACGTACGAGCAAGCCCTCACCGCCACCCAGCAAGGCGCCACCATGATCACGCATCTTTTCAACGCAATGCGCCCCTTCTATCACCGGAACCCCGGTATCTTCGGCCTCCTCGGGCAGAATGAATGCCCGCGACCATTCTACGGCGTCATCGCCGACGGCATTCACCTGCATCCCACCTCAATCCGCATTGCCTACAACGCCCACCCCGAAGGCCTCATCCTCGTCACTGACGCCATGAAGCTATGCGGTCTCCCCGACGGTATCTACGACTGGACCAATGGCGAGCGCATCATCAAGAACGGCGCCCGGCTGACCCTCGAGGGCTCGGACAGAATCGCCGGCAGCTCAGCCACCCTCATTGAGTGCGTCAACAATTTCCGTCGCTGGTCAGGCGCCTCCACGGCCGAGGCGCTCAACGCGGCTTCCGCCACCCCCGCACGCCTTTTGGGTTTACAGGGCGTCAAGGGGTCCCTGGAGAGTGGCGCGGATGCGGACTTGCTTGTGCTGGATGATGAGGAGGACCCCTTCTCGGGCCCCACCTTGACTGTGAGACAAGTCTGGAAGCGCGGAGTCAAGATCTATGATACCGGCAAATAATATGCAGTGAGTGCCTTTTGACTTGCGCACATGCTGTCTGAACGAGTTATGCGCTGCAGAAATTGTTTGGTTATTACTCATTCATGCGTTACGCTCGAATTTCGATCTCTCTAGCAGGCTTGGGAGTTTTGGTTTGGATTATGCTGCTCGTTCCTTCTTGGCTCGCGTCGGTTTAGAGACTTGCATGGAGTGGGCTCTCGTGGGCTCTGTTCATTACCTTTCTTTTTGTACTTGGGTCATTTAAAAAACCGGGATAAAGTAGAGCTCCCACATGGATAGTAAATAGAATGTCAATGATAGATACAGGCCACTTCGGTTCATTTATGAGGATCTATCTTGTTTCTACATTGGTGTACTAGGCATATTTGGAATAAACTCTATTTCTATTCATTTCAATATGTCTGGTGCTTCCTGCGCAACATGCCAGCGTTATATAAAACAAGCAGATCGTGACTTGGGATGAATGACAACCCAGATCACACTGTACATAGGATAATGGTACTGCAACAGCAACCAAAACATCCAAAAAGACAAGCCAGGATTTCAAACAAAGGACAGATAACTGTATATCCATGAACCTTCCCCTGATCTGGCGATTCTTCTTCACTTTAAAATCATCAATCATAAATCATGTAAGGCAAGCCGACTCCATCGCATATGCATGCATCTGTCGATCGAAGCTAACGCCCTCACTTGGAGACTACACATGCAAAGAAAAAATCTCAATCGCTTGGGTCATGCATGCGCCGTTCCATAATCAACTCCCTGCACTTTATTTTTATTTTCTTTTTGATTTTGCGGTTTGGATGAAATGGCCATGCGCTTACAGACGGGGCTGCTCGCGCTTCCATCCGGCCTCTTCGGCGATGAGCTCCGCAGCACGCTCACCAATGGCCAACACAGTCAACATGGGGTTGATAGTGGGCATCTCAGGGAAGACACCGGCATCGGCGATACGAACGTTCTTCAGGCCACGGACCTTCAGCTTGGGGTCGACGACGGCCATGGGGTCGCGAGTCAAGTTACCCATCTTGGTAGTACCAGCGGGGTGGTAGACGGTGTGGGCAACACGACGACCATACTCGGAGAGCTCCTCGTCGGTCTGCACGTTGGGGCCGGGGGCAACCTCACGCTTGATCCAATCCTTGAAGGGCGACTGCTTGGCAACCTCACGAGCCGCCTTGAGACCAGCCACGATGGTAGCGGCATCATAGCCCTCGGGGTCAGTGAAGTAACGGAAGTCCAGGGCCGGCTTGACGCTGGGGTCGGCCGAGGTCAGGTAGATACGACCGCGGGAGCGAGGACGAGGGATGTTGGGGGTCATGCAGAAGGCATCGACCGGAGTGTCGTAACCCAGACGCTCGGTGTTCAAGCAGAAGGGGATCTGGTAGCAGTGCATCATGATGTCGGCAGCACGGCCGTCGAAGCCATTGGCGTTGGGCAGCTCACGACGCAGGAAGATACCAGCGTCAGAGTCCATGGTGGTCTGGTTGGGGGGAACGGGGCGGTTGAGCTCCCAGATGATGATACTCTCGGGGTGGTCGAGGAGGTTCTCACCCACACCGGGGATATCCTTCACGACGGGAATTCCCAGGCCAGACAGCTGCTCGCGAGGTCCCAGGCCAGACAGCATCATCAGGCGGGGGGTGTCAACGGCACCAGCGCACAGGATGGTCTCCTTCTTGGCGCGCAGGGTGTGCTTGGCGCCCGACTGCAGGGTCACATCAACACCGGTCACAGAGTCTCCGTCAACATTGACGCGGGAAACCCAGGCATTGGTGAGGATAGTCAGGTTAGGACGCTTCTCCTCGCCACGAAGGATGGGGTGGATATAAGCGACACTGGCGCTGCTGCGACGACCGTCATCGGGGTTGTAAGAGACGGAGAAAAAACCGACACCCTCGGTCAGTTCACCCTTGGAGCGAATCTCCTTGTTGAAGTCTTCGATAACGGGGATGTTCATGGCGGATGAGCAAGCCTGAACCCAGTCCTTGCACAGCTGGTTGCGGTGACGGTTGTGGACGGGCTGAACGGTGTTGCGCAGGTTGTCCAGAACGCGAGTGAAGGTCTCGAAAGACCAGCCAGTGCAGCCGGCCTGCTCCCATCTCTTGCAGTCGTATTCGAAGGGACGGAAAGAGATCAGGGTGTTGTGGCTGGAGCAACCGCCCAGAACCTTCGCGCGGGAGTGACGGATGTAGCTGTTACCTGTAGAGTAGAATAGGGCATGAGAAGGATGATCTGCGATTGATGGTTGTTCGGATGCAAGGAGAGGGGTTTCACAACATACCCATGGGCTGTTCAACGGTGGGGTAGTCGTAGTCCAACTCGCCGCCAAGCAGGTTGAGCCACTCCTTCAGCTTGAGCACGCGATCATCCATGAAGTCGCTGGGGCCACCCTCGATGATGAGGATGCGCTTGTTGGGCAGGTATTCAGCCAGACGACTGGCGATGACACAGCCAGCTGTGCCACCTCCGACGATGACATAGTCGTAGCTGTTGACATCGCTAGCGGGGAATTCGTTTGTGGTGGCCATTTTGAAAGATGAAGATAAGGGGATGTAAATTACTTTGATGCAGGGGAGATCAGAAAAAGAGAGGAGATTATGGGAGAAGAGGGGAAGAGGGATAAGAGATAAGGATGAGGAGAAGAAGAGGGACGCGCGATGGAGAGAGGAAAAAGAAGTAGTAAAAAGAGGGAAAGAGAAGTTGGGAAAGATGAGATTGGGGATTTTTAAATTTTGCAGGACAAGCAAGAGATGCGGTGGTTTCTGAGGCTGAACCGTCAGGCCATCCAATCCATCCATTCATCCATTCACTTCCCTATCTTTCTGGATTCCTTATGCTGTTTGACCTCGTCTTGTTCCTTTCTCACTCGTTTTTCTCACCATTCTTTCCCTTTTCTGCCGGGTGGGTCTTCTTCTAAACCCATTCCGGAGAGAAACAGGACCCACACCTTTACTCC